TAACCGTCTTCCCTGGGAATGTGTTAAAGCCAGCAGAGATGGCGGACATCAGCTGTTTCGAGGCTTGAAGCCTCTCTCCTCAGGAGAAGAGGAGGAGGTGAGTTTTCCTGGATAGAGGTCGAGTTCCCCAAGACATCCATAAATCTTTTTTGGGAGGTTGGAGAGTGAGAACTCCCTCAGAATCCATGGCATTCTCCGCATCCCATGATGTCTTTGTTCTGATTTTCTAAGAACAAAGCTAGACACTGCTTCCACATCTGCTTCTTAGAGGAAACTGTGAGTAAATTAAATGCAGATGGAGCTGATCAGGAGGAATTAGAATTGTGAGAATTTGGGACTTTAACTCAGGAGAATTAAAGAAACTTCTCCATCTATTAGTCTTAACAAAAGGAAGAGCAGAAAATGGCACAGAAATGATGTCTTTTTGCTTGAACAGACATTGTTAAGATGGACTTTCACTTTTATCTGGCAACAAAGTTTAAACAATGTAATGGATTTTGGCTGTTATCCAAAAAGCAAGAATCCTTTTTTATTTGGAAATATTGGATTTTACTTTTCCTCTTTTTTTTTCTTCTCTAATTGTTGGTTTTAAGATTATATAAGATTATAAGAAGTGGTTTTAAAATAGCTTGAAAATGGCTTCAAAAAGCCCTGGAACTTTGGTTCTTCCTAAAGCCTCAATTTCTTCTCCGGTAATTCAGGCTGTACAGCAAACTAAGCCTAAATCTCCACCACTTTCTCCCCCATTGCTTGCATTTACACTTAAATATATACGGGACACCCTGGGGCAAACAGCACGACAGATCAAAGAAGAAATGGCGGAGCTTCTTGAGAGTAAAAATAGGGAGATGAGGGAAGACATAGTGTTTGCATTTCAAGGACTTGCAGCCCATATAGAGCATCTTGATGAGCATGTGGATGATGTTGTGGAAAATGTTGAAAGATTAGAAAATAGAGTTGATAAAGTTGAAATTAAGGTTGATATGACACAGGATGAAATTATTATGTCACAATATAGAGACACGGAATTTGCTTTGAGAATAAGAGGGTTGAAGGAGAATTTGCAAGAGGACTTGAAGGAGGATATAGCCAGAGATTTGACTGTAATTTTTGGATGTGAACCTGAGGAAATTTTGAGAGAGATAGAAAAAAGTTTTAGGGTTAATTCATGGATCGCTAGGCAGAGAAATTTACCAAGAGATGTGGTTATTTATTTTTCCAGAAGATCGCTTCGTAATGAAATTATACAAGTTTTTTATAAGCAGAGATTTCAAATTGCAGCTTAAGATGTTATAATATTAAAAGAAATACCTCCAAAAGAAAGGAATTTGCTTTTTTGGCTGAGGAGCTTAAAAAGCGACAGGTTCAATTTAGATAGGAGATTCCTGTTGGAATAGTGGTGAATATGCTGGGACACATTATAGGCTTAATACAATTTTAAAACCGAAAGATTTTTATACTTCTGTCCTGAAGGCAGGTTCACCATCATTTCCACAATCTAAGAGGGATGAAGATAAGTTGGAAAAACAGCTAGTTGAAGGCACAACGTCATTAGTTGTAGGAGATGTACAGTTTGAGCCTATTCAACAGTGTTTGGAGATAACAGAGGCTCCAAAGGAACAGAGAATGACTCGTGCAGCTCATAGACGCAAAGAAAAAGAACAGCAAAAAGCAGAGGCTGGATCTACAACACAAGATTTGACTACTTCAGAGCCTGTGGGAGGGACAAGACCGAAGAGATCATCTACAGCATATCTTCAAGCGGTGTTCCAGAGGCTTCAGGCCATTAAAAATGGCAAAGTTTCTGACATGGAATGTTAATGGCCTGAATTCACCACAGAAAATAAAGAAAGTATTTCATTATTTGAAACAACACAAGAATGATGTTGTTTGCTTGCAAGAGACTCATATTACTTCAAAGGATCAAAAATATTTGATTAACTTTCAGCTGGGATCACATTTTATAGCCCCTGCTCTGGGGAAAAAAAGGGGGGTAGTTATTTATGTGTGGAAAGACTTATCAGCTAAATTAATTGATTCTGATCCACAAGGAAGATATGTTATTATTGATTTAGCATTATATGGCAAGAGACTTCTTATTATTAGATTGTATGCTCCTAATCAACAACAAAAACAGTTTTATAAGCTGATACATCAGAAACTGATTCAACTGGATTATAAATCTGTTATTATGATGGATGACTGGAATGGAGTTATAGATGCAAGTAAGGATAAAAGAGGATCTATTAAATCTTCTAATCAAGCTAAATTACCTAAAGTTTTTTTTGACTTGAAGGATGATTTGGAATTTAGAGATATTTGGAGAGAGCGGAATATGGAAGATAGAGACTTCACTTTATTTTTGGATAGGCATCAATCATTTTCTAGAATTGATTTTTTTCTAATTACTACTGATCTCTTTTCTAGGGTAAAGAATGCCAAGATTTTTCCTAGGACTTTGTCAGATAACAGTCCTGTTTGGTTGAAATTATCTATTGAAGAAGGGAATAGAAGATCCTGGAGGTTGAATGAGAATTTATTTAGATATGAGGGGATCTCTCAGAAATGTAGAGAATATTTGAAGGAATTTTTTGTTTTGAATATGCAATGGCTATGATGTGGGATGCTAGTAAAGCTTATATGAGAGGGGTTTTGATCCATATGAACAATGCACATAGGCGTAAACAGGCAAAAAACGTGAAGAGTTGGAAGAAGAGATCAAAATGAAAGAGAAGGCTTTTATTTTGAACCCATCAGATAATAGTTTAGAAGTTTCTATAAATATGCTTAAGGAGCAATTTAATATGTTAATGGCTGATCAAGTTGCAATTAATTTAAGTTATATGAAACATAATACATTTTGTAATGCAAATAAACCTGGTAGGTGGTTGGCTTACCAATTATGGAAGAAACAGAAATCAAGGGTTATAGAGAAAATAGTTTATAAAGAGGTTCATCAACAAAATTTGATTAAAAAGAATTTTTTAGATTTTTATACAAAGTTATATGCTAGTGGAAACATACAAGTTTCAGACATAGATAAGTATTTACAAGTTGCAAATTTTCCTAGATTTTCAGATGATCAACGAACTGAGATGAATGGTTTAATTACTTCTGAAGAAATTATTTGGGCTATTAAACAATTGAAGATTGGTAAAGCTCCTGGTCTAACAGCAATGTATTATAAAATGTTATCTGAAGAAATTTTAGAACCATTAAAGGAACTTTTTAATAGTATTTTGTTCGGAGCAGAGGTACCTCCATCTTGGAGAAGGACTTTTATATCGTTGATTCCAAAGGAGGATCAAGATCTTACTCAGCCTAAGAATTACAGACCGATATCTCTTTTGAATACAGAGTATAAGATTTTCTCAAAAATATTGGCAAATAGATTAATGTATATTTTGAAACAAGTGATTCATAGTGATCAATCTGGATTTATAACTGGAAGATATATGAAATATAATGTAAGAGAAATTGTTAACTTAATTGAGTATTTGGATAAGAATAATCAAATTCCTGCAGCTTTGATATTTTTAGATGCTGAAAAAGCTTTTGATCAGTTAAATTGGCAATTTTTATTGAGAGTTGTAGAGAAAATGAATTTTGGGGATAAGTTTTTATATGCTCTTAAGGCTATATATCAACAACAATCGGTTCAAATTATAGTTAATGGGGGATTAACAGAGGTATTTAAAATTGAAAAGGGTACAAGACAGGGGTGTCCATTATCCCCATTGTTATTTGTTTTAATAATGGAAATTTTATTAATTAAAATTTGTGAATCAATTAAAATAGAGGGAATAAAAATAAATAAAAATTATTATAGATTGAGAGCTCTTGCAGATGATTTGGATTCCAATTTGGGGGATTCCCAGACACACAATAGAGGGGGTATCTAGGGGTGTGAATTTGGAGAGGATTTCTTATAAGGAATTGCTTAGTTTGGTAAGGAAGGATTGGCATTTAAAATCTTTAGTTGAGTTGAAACAAGAAAATATTGTACACTCTTGGTTTCAATATAACCAATTGTTAGTTAGGTGGAATCTAGATCAAAAGGTTGGTATTACTTTAGAGGATGTGAATTTGATAAAACAGATTAAAGATCAAAATTGAGCCCATATAAAGAAAATTTATAATGTTTTAATAGAATTGGATTCTGAAACGGAGTTAGTTAAAGATTGTATGGTAAAATGGGGTCAAAATATTCAAGAACTGATTTTATTGGATACAAGGGAGACGATTTGGGTTAGAAATGTAAAATTTACTCAGCCTCAAAATTTAAGAGAAATTTTTTATAAAATGTTTTATAGGTGGCATTTGGATCCACAAAAGTTGTCTTGTATGTATCCTAATTTACAGCCCAAATGTTGGAGAGGTGGTAGCTTGGAGGCAACTTATTTTCATATTTAGTGGACTTGTAGAAATATAAAAGCTTTTTGGATTAAGATTTGGTGGAACATTCAAAAGATTTTTAAGAGAAAGATAAAGTTTACACCACAGTTATTTTTGTTAGGCGTTATTGTAGATTGTGATGTTAAAGAAATTAATTTGATCTTGTTATTTATTTCTTACTGACCTTTCTCCTGCTCTAGATTTAAGGCAGAAGAGGTATGTGTGTGTGTTTAAGTTTATCAGAACTTGGTTGCCATTTTGAGGGTCTTTTTTACCAATATTTTTTTCCAAGAAACTAGAGTCAGAAGCAGAGTTGTTTTTGTTCTTCTTTTTGTTCTTCTTAATTTATTTATTATGATGTTGTCTCTTTGTTTATTAAAACTTCTAAACTTCTAGTGAACTTACAAAAGAACAGATTATGTAAGCATCCCAAGGTAGTAAAGTAACAATAGAGTCATGTATAGATAACAGAAAAATTGGTGGAAATAAACATATGCATTATTCATCATAGGCTTTCAGTATTGTTTTATGTACATATTGGTTATATTTCCTTTGGTTGTATGAATAAAAAATGGACTGTCATAAGGGATACATGTAAAGCATTCTTAGTTTTTCCTATATGTTCTCTTTACTAACTGCTCCCTAATGTTCAGTTCAGGTTTCATTAAAATAATGTAACATTTAGGGAAAAATATACATCCCAATAAGCTAGCACTTGAAGCCAAAATTGAGAAGATTTCTACAGCTACCATATATTTGCCTTTGGTACTTAAGTAAGTAGGAACAAATGAAATCCAGACAACGCAAAAGATGAGCATGCTGAAAGTAATAAACTTAGCTTCATTGAAACAATCTGGTAACTTTCTGGCTATAAAAGCTACAGTAAAAGTTATAATGGATAAGAAGCCCAAATAGCCCATGACAATGTAGAACATAGCAATGGACCCTTCGTTACATTTTAATATGATATTTTTGGCTGAAGATTGACTATCAATATCTGAAAATGGAGGAGAGCTTGTTAACCACACTACACAAATTACTCCCTGACTCAGATTACAGCAAAGAATAATAAATGTGGCTAGCCTTTTCCCCACCCATTTCCTCATTCTGGATCCTGGCTTGGTGACCATGAATGCTATAATTACAGTAACAGTTTTTGCCAATACACAAGAAATTGCTATAGAGAAGATTATACCAAAAGCAGGTTGCTGAAAAAGAGAGGTCATCTTTCTGGGTTGTCCAATAAAAAACAAAAGACAGAGAAAACAAAACAGGAGAGAAATCAAAAGAATGTAGCTGATGACCAAATTGTTGGCTTTGACAATGGCAGTGTCTTTTTTCTTAATAAAAATTCCTAGCACAAGGACTGTGATCAAGGTAAAAAATCCTGTAGCTGCAGTTAAACTTATTCCTAATGGATCATTGTAGGACAAAAAGGTTGCAATTTTGGGAATGCATTGATCTTGGTTCTTATCAGGATAGTGATCTTCTTGGCATCTGAAACATTTTTCTGCATCTTGGAGAACAGATTTGCAATAATTAATGTGTGAACACGTGGGAATTTTTGTCAACTTCAAGAGTAGATTTTATTTAGTGTTGTAAGGAAATTTGATTTACTGTTGTAAGGAAATTTATGCATTTCCTTATGAATTAATTACTTCAAAAATGCATATTAATAGATATCAAGCTATGTAGAGATTACCAAGTTTGGCTCTTTGGAATGTCCTGATTGAATTTAGTTCTCACCAGACCTCAGGTATGAACTGATGACCTGAGGAAGGAAGGAAGGAAGGAGGGAGGGAGGGAGGGAGGGAGGGAGGGAGGGAGGGAGGGAGGGAAAGAAGTTCTTTTTCTGGTGATGGGGTATTCTAACAAATCACCAACCTATTTATATTGTGTAAAAAAAATAAAAGATTGATAACTAATTAAAGAACTAATTTAAAGAAATTAAAGATAATGAAATGTGGAGAATTTGTAGGTATTGCTTTTTATTCAAAAAGAGTTTCTACTTTGTAGAATTAGTATTAATAAACAAAGGAATGCTGTAAACAAACACTGTTATATTTGCTAATAACAGCCAGAACTTCATATTGGAGAAACTCGAACAAATTAGCTCTCCTTTAATCTTCTGAAGATATCCAGCTATTTCTAAATATACTTGTTCTAAGTGATAAAGTAAAGTATTCTTCTTGCATCATCAACCAACTCAGGCAACTGCATCGATACAGTAATTTACATCTCTCATAGCTGAATATACAAATGTTTCTCTGATTGAGCAACTTTGTGCTGAGCAACCACAATTTTAATCCGAGTAAATGAATGAAAATGATTGAGAACTCTTAGATAGATAAAAGCAATGGTCATTTTACTAAAATTTGTGGCTATTCATTGTAAATATATTTTATGGCTATATGTGTAACTCTTCACTAGACTTCCAAGTCATGGTTGTCCCACAAGTACTTTTTCAAGAGGAAACTAGGTATTCTTGTTTTTCTTTGAAGATATTTTCTCTTCTCCTCCAAGAAGCTTCTTCAGCTCTGACTGGATGGTAGGAAATGGAAGGATTTATATTCCTGGCAGACATCTGGTCATTTGCATTTTTTAGAGTTGTTGAGGTCACTTTGAGGTTTATCCATGTCCTAAGGGAGGGGTAGGCAACCCAAAACACTTAAAGAGCCACTTGGACCCGTTTCCCACCAAAAACAAAACACTGGGAGCCGCAAAACCATTTTGATATCTAAAATGAAGATAACACTGCATATATCCTTTTTTACCTTTATTATAGGTTTGTGTGTGTTTGTGTGTGTGTGTTTGTGTTTGTGTATGTATATGTGTGTGTGTGTATATATATGTATATGTATGTATGTATATATATTTATATACATACACACACACACACACACACACACAGGTAAAAAAAGGATATATGCAGTGTTATCTTCATTTTAGATGTCAAAAGGTTCTCTCTCTCTCTCTCTCAATCTCCCTCTCTATCTGCCCTTGGTCTGCCACTCCTCTTCCCCCGCTCTCTTTCTTTCTCTCTCTCTCTTTCCTCTCTCTCTCTCTCTCTCTCTCTCTCTCTCTCTCTCTCTTCTCTCTCTCTCTCTCTCCCCCCCCTCTCCTATCTGCTGCTCACCTGACAAGCTTCAGGCTGTTGTCCAACAAGATCAGGGGTAGTCAACCTCGTCTCTTTTATGACTCATGGACTTCAACTCCCAGAATTCCTGAGTCAGCCTAGCTGGGCTAGCTAGCTCTCTCCTGCCCTTCCTGCTTCCTGCAGCAAAGGGAAGAGCTCCGCCCAGTAAGCTTTTCAGCTCCTCGGAGAACACTGTGAGTGCACTCTCTTTTTTTTATACACACACACACACACAGAGAGAGAGAGAGAGAGAGAAGCAGGGAAGTGCAATTCCTCTCTCTGTTTCTGTCTCTCTCTGCAAAGGCAGAGGAGGCTGGGAGCCGCAGGGGAAGGCTCAAAGAGCCGCATGCGGCTCCGGAGCCACAGGTTGCCGACCTGTGTCCTAAGGTCACCTGAATAATGCAAATAGGAGTGGAGCCTTCTTGGAACTGCTGAAAGGACTGTGTTGTAGACAGGAGATAGATAATTTATCCCTCTCCCTTTGTTGAGAGAAGGCTGTTCAGTTTTGACAAAGGGGCCCCTTTGACCCCTCTGTCAAACCAGCAGTCCTCTCTGTCCAAAATGTGGACTTTGCTGTCTTCAAAAGAGTGGCCTTTTTCTTTTAAATGCAGATGGATTCTTCTGCAAAGAATATAAATATTTCCATTCCCCACTATCCAGTCGGAGCTGAAGAGAAGCAAAACATCTGCAAAGAAAAACAAGAAAGTCTAGCTGTCTTTTGAAAAAAAAAACTTTGGGGTCTTCACTAGACTACTCCATGGAGTTGGTCTTAAAAGGCATTCAGAAACTACAATTGGTCCATAACTTATCTCATGTATTAGAGATTGTCATTGCAAAGTCCATGTAAGTATGACTCCTCAATCACTGACCCCATCCTTTGGAATAGAAGCCCCTTTCCTATTTGTTTTCCGAAAGAGCCCTGGTGCCACAGTGATAAGAATGCAATATTGCAGGCTAACTATGCCCACAGTCTGGAGTTTGATCCTGATCGGCTTGAGATTAATTTAGCTTTCCAGCCTTCAAAGGTGAGACCCAGATTGTTGGGGGCAATATGCTGATTCTGTCAACTGCTTAGAAAGTGTTGTAAACCATTATGAAACAGTATGTAAGTCTAGATAATAATTGTTGCTCAGTTGATTTTTGTGGCCTATTATATGAAAGAGATGATGCATAGAGATAGATGGACAGATAATACATAGATAGATAGAAGATAGATAGGTAGATAGATAGATAGATAGATAGATAGATAGATAGATAGATAAATAGATAGATAGATGATAGACAGACAGATTAACAGACACACAGACACTTAGAAAGACAGACTGACTGATAGATATGTACATGCATGAATGTGCACATGCTATATCACCAACCATTTTTGTTTGCAACCATCCCCTCAGGACATGGAATGCAGTCATAACAGCAAAATTTATTTCCTTCCTTCTTTTGTTTCTGATAACCAGGATTGCAGGAGTAACTGCAAAATGATGTTGGCTTTGTCTGTTAACAAGCACAAGTTGGGGAAAATGAGAGCAGAAGATTAACAGCTGAACTATTCATATGAAATATTAAAATCTAAAACATATTTTTAAATTAACATTTAGTTAAAATTAATAAGTAATAATAAATTAATAATAGATCATGCAAATTCAAATTGTTATATTGGAATTAACAATTGGAATTTGCAAAATCTAATATAACAATTGGAATTTGCACAATCTATTATTGATTATGGATAACTTCAGAGTGTGCCACAAATGTTATTTATTCAAACGATTGCTTTATACAAGAGTACTAGGCATGGCTATTATAGCAAACAAATTTATTGAGACCCCAAATCATTGTCTAAAATTCCATAAATGTCATTTCTTTGACATAGCAGTGATGAAATGTTTATATCTTTTGTAAAATAATTAGCTCTTTAAACTCTTTTTTTTTTAAAAAAAAAATCTGAATGTAATGTGAAACTTTAAATATATTATCAAATTTGTTTGTTCATGATAAGATCAGATTTTTGCAGTTTCTGGTATTCATCTACTGAATAAAATACTCTCAAAAGATATTAAAAGACCGCACCTGGTTAATATTTCTATGCCACACAATCAAGGTTTCATTAATAACAAATTCTTCTTCTGCTAGAACATTGTGTTGCACCTTTCCAATTTTCACTCTATGCAGTGAATTATTTGGGAATATTACCAAATTGGTGATGTCAAATCCAGCTCTGATTTCTCTATTTATATTAAAGGAAACTGTTTCTCCAACAGAGTTGTTAAATATGATCTGATCAAGTAATTGGTAAAGCTAGTTGCAAAAAGGTAAAAAAGAAAATGAAATAAATAAATAACTTATTTTTATCTTTATCAATAAGACACATTTCTCTGTATATTTGTAAGCTGAAGATCTAATGAACATTAAAGATAGGGAAATTTTCACCACATAGATTTGTTGAACAAAATTCCTAGCAGTCCAAGAAGAAAGGAGTTGTAGATAAGTGGCATTAATTATACATTTTGCAAAACTCTGATACTCTCCAGAGATCAAAACTGCATTTGAAGGAATAAATGTTTAAAACTATATTTAAAATTATATATTTTTTATATTTATGTATAAAATATAAACTTATATTTTAAAACAAATGGTCTAAATTTCCTCACTTCTTTGTTCCTCTGAGTCAATGTTTACTTCTGATCCCTGCAGTTTTCTTGGCCAGATTTCAATTGTTTGCCATTGTCTCCTTCCTAGCACTGATATAAAGTGACTGGCCCAAGTTAAGCCAGCTGGCTTTGTACCTAAAGCAGGACTAGAACTCACAGCCTCCTACTTTCTAGACTGGTATTGCAACCGTTACAGCAAACTGGCTGTATTTTTCACACAATTACTCCCCAATTTCACTTCAAAGCAGCAGTAGCAGCAGATGTGAATTTTAAATATAACTGCAGTGATCTGAGAACACTGAATAATTTTATTCACATTTTAATTTTGTTTTAGTAAAATGTAAATTATTTATTATAGAAACAACTTTTACAAACTTTTTTTGCAAAGAGATTTATATAACTTTTTATGTTTCTTCAAATCAAAACTGAATTGAATTGTAGGGGTGCTTCAATTTTACACACCAATTTTAAAAGATTTCTTTCAATATATGAATATGGTGTGGAGAATTATATCATTGGTTCTGCATTCTATAAGAGACAATTTGATATTATTCTACAGTATACTGATATGTTCATGGACATGAATTATTTATCCTGTAGTTATTACCTGCCAAGGCCAAAGATTCTGATATCCTCTACTCTCCATTATTATTTTATGATTGGTTCTAGATGCATACATTACATTTAAGGCATTTACTACAGCATAGACAGCATTGTAGATACTGTAGCTGTGTCCAGACACAAACAATTCAAATAGAGACCCAGGAAGATCCTGCAGCCTCTCCTCCCCAGTACACATTCCAGTCAATTCCATTGGCTCTTGAGCTTTTGAAAACTCACAGTTGAAGGCTTGCTCACAAAATTCCTTGAACAGAGCACTTTCCTGCATCTTACAAGGCTTTATATTCTGAAGAAATTCCTTAAAGTTGTGGAGCTCTTGTGAGTGTATTGATAAAGAAATGACAGTTTGGAACACTTGCAGAACTGTTTTGCTTTGGAGGCTTGATAATGCAAAATCAATTTGAGATGTCATAATCCACACTTTTCTTAATGATATATTTTCTTCATGCAAAAAAATTAGTATGAGAACCAACCATGACATTATCATGGTTTCACCATAGACAATATATGTACTGGCTGTGCTATGTGTTAAGAGCTGGTAAATATTTGAGACCATGTTGTTCATTTGGTCTTTGGTATGCCAAGAGGCTTGTTTGGGGATTCTCTTTGTGAAGGCTGAGCATATACTGTTTTGGTAAAATAATTGTTCTATCATGTGTAAGAAATATTCACCACTATCATCATCCACAGCAAACATACCAATCCAGGTCCATCCAAAATATTGTAATAATTGAATAATTCCGAGATACTGGTGAAGTTCATTGGGTACCATGCAATAAAATGATGGTGGCTCCATTGTATCACTATTCCTTGTGGCAATAGACCCATAAGTAAACTATATAAAGAAGTAAATTTATTTTAGATATTAGTAAAAAAATATATTAGTGAATTTCTTTTCTGTCAGTTTGCAAAACATAACTTTGCAAATTCAGAGAAAAACTGAAAAACATTATTCTTCTAGTTTGATGTTAAACTAAGGACATTTAATATTTTTGACTCACTTTTTTCCCAAAAGTTAGTAAAAAGAAAAAAAAAATAATGTCACATTAGCACAAAGCATTTCAGGTGAAGATAAAACATAAATCCCAATCCAACATTAGTTGGATAAATCTGAGCCTAGTTTAACAGCACAATTCACAAAATCTCTGAGAAATAATGGTTGAAAATATCAGATCCATTTTTGTCTTGTCTTCCCCCATCTGAAGTCATTAATCCCTGCAATGTATTCCTTAATCAAGTTGACACTTGCAAATTATGGCCATGCAAACCACAGTAACAAACAATTTGATTTGCAAACAAAACACACTACTTGTATTTCTATATAAAGAATCCTACCTGTGGAATTTTATAGAGACCTGTTATCTTTGATATATGGAAAGAAGCATCAGCACCAAGGCTCCCAATGACAACTACTAGTTCTTTCTGGCCATCACATTTGTAGTTTGGGAAAAATCTGTTTAATTTGAAAAGGAGATCGAGAGTGGTCCTATAGGTCAACCTCATATTGTAATAGCTGTCATAGATGTGAAACCCAAGTGTGACATTTGGCAAGAGCTTTGGGTTCTCATTGATCTCCTTAATAGCAAATGCCAAGGCAAGGATGTGTTGATATAATTTTGGTATAACACTGCAAGTAAAGTGTTAATGTTCAATTGCATAGGAAAAAAGCCCTACAATCCATGCACTACATCTATGCCATCTTTAAGTGAAGCAAATTAATTTTAAAGCATCATATATTACCATTGTTACAGGGAAGGAGGGAAGGAATATTTAAGGAAAAGAAGAATTACAGGGTAAAGGCAAAAAAACCCAACTAATCAAATATACACTGAGCAGAACAAAGCCTAGGAGATATGAACTTGTAATAAGTAATTTAAGAATTGTGCATCTATACAAGATATTGTATATATTGTCTAAATATTGGTCTGACTAGCCCCTTACAGTGATACTGTGTCATTTTGCAAGTCTGCATCCACATAGGGAAGTTAATGTTTGTTATTTTTACTTACTTTTGTTTTCTCCAAAAAGTGGCTAAACACACACACACAAATAATATTCTGATAATTAATTCCAGATAGATAGATAGATAGATAGATAGATAGATAGATAGATAGATATCCTACTATTCCTATCTAAAAATTTTTTAAATTTGAACAAAACCTCTCATTCAAGCCTGAACTTGCTTCTAAGATATAAAATGTAAACTTCCTTCCTTCTTCCCTCCTACTGTCCCTCCATCCAACATCATATTATTTTTGTAAGAAAAGAAGGAGTATTAGGGATACTCCTCAAGAAAAGGGGTTGAGCTGCAGGGAAACTCATTGGAGACAGCTGGAATATATGTCTGATAAATAATCTACAGAAAGTTTCTATAAAGATCATGTTTAAGTTGGAAGCATGATATCTGAAGATTCATTTTTAAGCTATTCTTTATTTAATTCATCAGATGTCATACTCTTATATAAATCTATTTCCACATCATGTACACATAAATATATCATGACATTCCTTTTATTATCAAAGAAGAATTTCAGCATACTGTGAAAAAAAGGTAAAAAATTCACAAAGAAACAGGGTCATGTATTTATGTATGTATGTAAATGGAGGAGAGAGAGAAACAGAGACAGACAGAGACAGACATTCTATGTTTGTCATTATTTACTTACATCTGAATGGCAATCTCATCAAGAGAAGGATGTTTCTTATAGGAAATCTCTGGAGATGAAATATAAATTAATTGAGAACCAATTCCACCAATGAGAAAGTTACCTGGTTGATACCACTCATGTGGAATATGGATGGGTTTACTTATTAGACATTTTCTGGTATTTAATTTGCATGTCAATGGAGGCAATATGGACAGAAATAGCAATGGTCTAAACATCTGGATAGCAAAATATTGGTAAGGATATAGTCTGTCTTATGCTCCTCTATCAAATGTAGCTGATAATGCCAACAGACTTTGAAAGGAGTATTGTCTCCTTCCTTTTGATTTCTTTAGCTTTGCTATATAATAGAAACATGATGACTACAATACAACCTATTATTTCCATCTATCACCCCCATGGTAATGTATTGTGGATCTGTGAGTACATACCCAGAGATGCTTACTTATTGATTTAACTTCTGAACACTGATTATCCTTATTAAGATAATTGCTTCTCCCTCATTGGGATTTCCCTAGTACTATTGCTAGCAAATATTAGTAAAATATATTTTTTTTGAAGTTCTATTCATCAGCTTTATGCTACAAGCCTCTATCAAAGCTTTCCAACAAAGAATCCAATCCACTTCAACTCAAAGAAAACTCAAAGGTGTCTATTGCAAATCAACATAATGAAGAAGATGGTGATGGCAATAATAAATTATAATTGATAAGAAAGACAAAAAAATCTGGATAGTGGATGAGTCAGTACATGGAGACAGCAGAAGATAACAAAATACAAAGACTTGCAAATAGAAATAGAATGACTGTGGCACTTACTAAGTGCTGTCCACCCATTGCAAAACATTCATTCATTCATTCATTCATTCATTCATTCATTTAACTATACTTCATCATTTATAAAGAAAAGACACTGCAAATGGAAAGAAAGCAGTGCAGCCTTCATTTATTTATGTAAAGTCAATTATTAGTAACAAGAACATCATTGAATTTACCATGGGCCATCTTCTGGACCAGTTTCCTCTACAAATCTTCTACAATCCCCACTCAGTTACATAATTAGGGGTTCCTTTTATATCATTATAAGAATTTTCACATTCAATCCATAAATTCTCTTAATTTCTGTGATATTTTCCACACAGTTCTTTGAATATCCTTATTCCTCAAACTATAAATTACGGGATTAAAACAGGTGGCAAAATTGTGTATAAAATTCCAGAAATTAAGTCCACATTGGGAGAGGAAAGGGACTTTGGTCTCAGGAATGAGAAAACAGCTGTGATAATAAACAAGGCAAAAACAGTGAGGTGGGGAATGCAAGTTGAAAAAGCTTTGTGTCTTCCTTGAACTGATGGAATTTTCAACACAGAAGAGAAAATATAACAATAAGATGTCAAGATGAATGAAAAGCAAAATGAATTCACACTGACTCCAATCAGAAAAATTAGAATTTTATGAACTTTTGAATCAGTACAAGCTATCTTTTGTAACTGAGGCATATTACAGAAAAACTGCCCAATCTTATTGGATCCACAAAAGTTCACCTGAAAAGTCAAACTGGTTTCTAACACTGCATGGACCAGTGTGGATATCCATGCAATAACTGCCATTTGGATACAGGCATTCCAGTTCATAATCAATCTGTATTGCAAAGGACGGCAGATGGCAACATACCGGTCATAAGCCATGATAGTAAGCAAGAAAATCTCTGCCCCAACAAATGTAATAACTAAAAAGACCTGTGTAACACATCCAGCATAAGGAATCATTTTGTTGTTTGTAACTGAAACGGCTATTGTTTTGGGAACTGTAGTAGAGATGTAGCAAACATCTACAGATGATAGATTGACCAGAAAGAAATACATGGGTGTGTGAAGATGCTGATTGAGGACCACAGCTGAGATGATGAAAAAATTCCCCACTACTGCTGTTAAATAAACAAAGAGAAACATCAAAAAATAGAAAAGTTGCATATCATGGTCATCTGAAAACCCCATTAGGAGGAAATCTGTCATAATGGATTTGTTGCCCATTACACTTATTTCAGTATATCTGTAAAGAATGGGTTAAAAATAGTTATTACAGCATAACAATATTATCAATTAATTGATAGTTTGCATTAATATCTTCATGCAAATATTAATTATACATATTAATAATTTGTAACAAATAATTTGTTACTTGTTCTACATGATTAAAGGTTGTAGTATGTTTACATTTAATTATTTTCTTTTTCCAGTGTTCTTCCAAAGTTACATCAAACCCTAGCTTCATCTTCACATCATATACTGTTAGGTTATCTCTCTCCCTTTTTGAAAAATCCCTTTTTTTTATGAAATGATTTTCAGATGATTAATTCTTATGATGAACTAAAAAGCTCTGACAGTTGCTTTTAAATCTGAGTGATTTATGCATCACTCTGTTCATCTATACTGCATCCATCTTCTCATCCCTCCATTCAACCATAAAAGAAAGTCTTACTAAGAATACATTTTGTGTTTGTGTGTGTGTGTGTGTGTTTCACACTAATGTATTTTCTATGCTCCTGAGTTGTTGCACACATCTAAATTTCTTTTTTAAACTAAACCATTATCACATTTTAAATGAAAAATTAATTTAGCAAAACTAATTTGCAGACTTGTAAAAGAAGGACTTGTGTTTAAATATATTCTCTATGTTTTCAAACTGCTACATTATTACTGGTTTTCTGCATACAATTCCCTCCTTTCCTTGTTAGAAAAATCTAAAACTTCAAATCTGTCCTGGCTGTCATTTTTAAAATTGCTTACCTCAGTCTGCAGTCAACACTTTTAGAAAATGAGATGCTTATGTACCTCTGGTTTGTTTTTATATATTTTATATTTGAAAAAGCAGCAGGAATCAAGTCTGTTCCCTGAAGTGTTTTATGAGTTGCATCATAATATTGTGCTTTGAAAATGGCTGTTTTCTAAATTAAACTGTAAGCAGTTCATAACCTGAGAACCTTTCAATGAACTCTCATTTTTTATTTTTGTATCTCTAACAAAAGAAATATGATGTCCATCTTTAAAACATTATTTAGAGGATTAGGGAAATGTAATAAATTAATGCATTTGGATGAATCAATTTTAATTTCAGATCCATTGAACCTAGCTGAACATTCTCTAGGATGTTCATATTTCTTAAATGCCCATCTCCCTCAGAGATAGGTGATGAGAGATTTTATTTTATTTTATGTTTAACTATTTGATTTCTATAAAGAAGTCAGAATCCAGCGGAGGAAGAAGTTGGGGTGATGATTGTGATGAATCATGTTTTTCAACTAAGAAATGCTATTAGCAGGCTCTGCTTTTGCTAGAAATAAAAGTGGGAGAAAATCAATTGAAGCAGAGCAAATAATGAAAGATATACAATAGTGGAAATTGATTTCTTTAAAGCTTCTGGGTAGAAGCATATTGATGTCAGTTTTGATTAACCCCATAACTGTAAAAAAAATTCCTGAAACTAGAAGTTGGGGTCTGGAGATAGATAAATGATGATGATTAATAAAAAGATATGTTATCTTTGTTCCAGTGGTAGAAGATTCCCAAATTATGATCTAGGTTTTTTTCTTCTAATTGGTATTGTTATTGTTATTAATGGAATTGTCTTTATTTCTCCATATTAGATTTTTTTTTCATTATTGAACTAAATCAAGCACACTCTTTCCACATTTGTCAAAACTTCAAATGTTGCTGTAAATTGCTTTTGGTCTCAGCTGTTCTTCCTTTTTTCAAAAAAATAAAGATTCAAGCAGCAATACACATATAAAAGCTCAGATATATGTTAAACATGCATGAAAGAAAAAAAATCTTAACAA